CAAGAATGGCTCATGCCCAGTACTAGCTTTGCTTTGGAGGTGATCAGCTCTGCCCACCTACCTCTCAGTTCAAGTGCTACTGGATTGCACTGCTTCTAGGAGTTGTCACCTGTCTGCTGTTCACAATCAGATAGAACTAGAAGACCTTTCCACGTGGATGGGCTGTGATTTGTCTCCTTGCCGGGGCATGGGTAAACCCAGTTCTAGAGCTGGCAAAACTTCTTGTTTGAGCTAGGTATCCCACCAAGCTCCTTGGTCAGAATGTGTCCCTTTACTCATCTGCAGAACTAAGTCTACAGATGAGTAAAATCTGTGGTAGGGATGACTACTTGAGGGCTCTTGATCTGCCAAGAGCCATGTGCTGGTTGTGGCAAGTTCCTCCCCACTTGAGAAGACTATATAATGAAAAAAGGTCCCCAAGTAAGCCTAGAGAAATACAATCTTTAGTACCAGAAGAGATAAAAGTACTAAAGAGAGAGCTTATTTTAAGTAAACAAAGAGGAAAATGTTTCAAGAAAAGATTTAAAAGAAATTCAAAAGTATATCCATTGACTTGAGTAGTATAAGAAATCATTAATCAGTATATCAAGAACTTTTATGCTAGAATTTTAGGGACCCTCCCAACTTAGACCTCAGATGAATTCAAGAAAAGCAATGACTTTGTAGGTTCTTTGAATTTTTTTATTGTTAGGATGGGTATCCTACTTTTTTTTAATCTTTCTGCATCATAAGCAGACATGAGAAGGCCATTAAATATGTATTTTATTTGCAAAAGTGACTCACTGTTAGCATTAGCACTGTCATGAAATAGACTTATAACGTGGCAACATCTGCAAACTAGTCTGCATAATTTGATCATAACCAAGTCATTCTCTTACCTGCTCTTTTCCTGGTTCCTAGAAATGATAAGTTTTGACTCCATGTGTCAATATTTCCTTCCCTATTTTGCTTTTGACTTAACATCAATAGATATCTTCAAAGAAAAATACCTGTAGGTTGATCATTAAGTTTTAATTCTTTCAAGAAAATCATAGTACATTTTCCCATTTTTCTAATTTATTAACTGAGGGATTTGGTAAAATATGAATTCTCTGAGAAATGCCAGACATGAATTCTTGCATGAAAACACTAATCAAGTATAGTTTGTGGAAGAAGAGATCGCTAGAGATGAATACATTAAGGAAGTGACAAGCTCAATTATTGTATGTATCTACCAGTGTGATACTGATGTCACTCAAGAAGATAGCAGTATTAAAGGTAGAAGGGAAATTGAGACAGAGATCAGTGGTCCAATGAATGAAATAATGACTGCAACATCTGTAGCTGAGAGCAAAGAGCAAGATATAGCACCCAAATTATATTAGCCTTAGGTCTTATTATTTTATTTTTAATTAATAATAACAGTGAGGTAGTAATGGTCTGGAATGATAGTATCTTTAAAAAAAGATTTTATTTATTTATTTGAGAGAGAGAGAAAGACAGAGCACACAAGACAGGGAAGAGGCTGATGAAGAAGGAGAAGCGGACTTCCTGATGGGCATGGAGCCCGATGTGGCACTCGATCCCAGGACCCCGGGATCATGACCTGAGCTAAAGGCAGATGCTTAGCTGACTGAGCCACCCAGGAACCCTTGGAATGATAGTATTGGTTTGCATGCTAATATGTTTTAGGAACTGTTTTGCTAACTGCACATAGATTACTTCATTTAGATTTTCAAAGTCAACAAATTATGAAGTATGAGTATTTAGATTTATGCCCCAGTCAACTCATGAGAGAGGCAGAGGATATATCAGTTTGACTATTACATGTATATGTAGTGTATTACATATTAATACATTATGTTACATGAGGATTCAGTTCCCTTAATTCACCTTGCCATTTCTCTTCCCCCAAGAATTAACCTCTAGGTAATTATATCAAGTGTTAAATATAAATACTGTTAATTATAGATCAAATAATATACCCATTATCTTTCCTTTCTTTAAAACATGTTAAACTTTTTAATGTTTCACTTGTTTTGTGGTCTATGTGCCTGAACTTAATTTTCCCTGATTTATTATTATTTCACAGCTTCTTATTCCCCAGAAGTATCCCTCCCAGAGAACTTCATCTTTCTATCCTGTTCCAATTTGGACTGTTTAGTCTTAAGCACTGTTACATAGCTGTTATCCTCAGACTCTCTTGTAATGTATTCATTGCATCGTGGATGTCATGTTTCTTTTCTCTCTCTCTCTTCTTCTTCTTCTTCTTCTTCTTCTTCTTTTTTTTTTTTTTTGCTTCTTTCTTTCTTTTTTAAGGAGTAGTCTCAAAAGAATTACCAGGGCATTAAAGGGCATGAAAAGCTTACAAGTTTTCTGAGTACTTGCTTATTGAAAATGTTTTTATTTAACTTTTACCTTGATGATTGACATGTCAGTTGAACATAACATTATAAGTTAAAATTCATTTCCTCCTAGAATTTTTTTTAAATTTTATTTCTTTATGATAGTCACAGAGAGAGAGAGAGAGAGAGAGAGAGAGAGAGGCAGAGACATAGGCATAGGGAGAAGCAGGCTCCATGCACCAGGAGCCCGACGTGGGATTCGATCCCAGGTCTCCAGGATCGCGCCCTGGGCCAAAGGCAGGCGCCAAACCGCTGCGCCACCCAGGGATCCCTCCTCCTAGAATTTTAAAGCCTTTCTTCTCTTGTCCTCCATCATCTGTTGCTGGTTTTAAGAATTCTAATATAATTCTGATTGTTTCTTTTGAATTTTCTTTGGTTTTGATATTTCTTTATTCCTTCTCTTTAGAAACTTCTTGCAGCTTCTTTTTATTCTCAAGATCTGATATCTCACATCAGTATGGATTGTGGTGCTGGGGAAGTGTTTGGCCGCTTGGATTTGGAGGAAGATGCTCTTTAATTCTGCATAATTCTGTATTGGGTTCTCTATGGCCAAAGCAATAGCATCACAACCACTTTCTACTTTCTCCGGTGTATGATAGAGGAAGAGAATGATCAAAATCCTTTCCCCAGACAGCTGTTAGAATCTGTCAATGAGAGGTACTCCAGGTGGAGTTGCACGCACATGGGGCAAACGGTAAACACTTGACTCAGGATTGCAAACACTAAAAGCAATAGCAGTGATCCACCTTCTATAAGATTCTTGATTTATAGTAACTACCAGGCAAGGCTTCTGAGGATCACCCACTTTGGCAGCTGAGACTCATGAGCAGTGAGTTGAAACTTTCAGATGCCAGATCTTGCAAATCTGCAGCCTCTGTACTTCCAGGGTAACAGTGGATAGCAAAAGTGGTTGGCGCTCATGAGAGTTCGGAGACTCACAGTAGGTGCATGGAGAGCTTCTGGGTATCTCATCTCTTAGCCACATTTTTCTGTACCACTGCGCACATCTCTAATTTTCTGTATTGAAATATTTACTACTTGGAATGCCAAAGATAGCTTCTTTTCTTGAATAAAGTTGGCTGAGATACCTTCTTTTGCTCTTTCCTTGATAATCACTTTTTTTTTTAAGATTTTGTTTCTAGGGATGCCTGGGTGGCTCAGTGGTTAAGCATCTGCTTTCGGCTCAGGGTGTGATCCTGGTTCAGGGACCAGGTCCCACATCAGGCTCCCTGTGAGGAGTCTGCTTCTCCCTCTGTCTATGTCTCTGCCTCTCTCTGTGTGTCTCTCACGAATAAAGAAATAAAATCTCAAAAGAAAAACACAATAACTTAAAAAAAAAGGTTTTAATCCTGGATCTCAGGACTCTTAAGATTATGACCTGAGCCAAAATCAGAGGTTGGATGCTTAACTGACTGAGCCATCCACGCACCCCTAGCTATCATATTTTCCATTTCTAATAGTTATTTTCTCATCTCAGATTGATTTCCATACCATGTTTGGTGATCCTTAGATTCCCATTTAAGAATAAAAAAAGCTCAATGGAAGTTGCCGTGATGGGCCTGGTGAATAAATGGATTTTGACAAAAGTTGCTCAGTTACAGAGCTGACTGTCTTTTAAAGGATCCTTAATTACCAGTATCTGGAGAACTTTCTTGGCAATTCTTTGTTTTGTTGGAGAGTAATTGTCTCTCCTCTCCCAGGGGCTAATACCTGGCTAGAAATGTTCTGTGAGTTAGAAAGGGGAAGCCTGGGGTTCCCACTGCTGTGTGCCAAATTTAAATAACCTCCCGTTTTCCACTCCATTACTCACTTTTTCCATCTGCCATAGTTGATATGCCTGAAAGAGGGGCATAGGCTGTTCAGTTTCTGTAGAGAATAGATTACTAGTCTCATGTCTGGGGTGGCATACTGTAGGCCAAACTCCTGTAATTCCTGGTATTTGCAACTCTTGGGTCTCCTTTGGTATTTTCTTAAAACAAACAAATGATGGTTATTTCCTTTCTGCTCTGCCTCTCTTTTTTTTAACCACCCTCTGTCTCCTTTCTATCTTCCAAAAATGTAGTTATCAGCTCTTTTCTACTGAAGTACTTCTCCCATTTTATTTGGATTTGTAGTTTTAAATCTTCTAAATCCTAGATTGTCTTTTTATGGAGGTCTTGGAAAGGAAGAGATACCTGCATATGGTTGGTCTTACATGTTCAGTTGAAAATTCCAGAGCCCATTATTTATTCACTATGATACACTGCTTTACAGTGCTACTTACTTTGGGGAGCAGTAGAGGAAGGTAGAGCAAGGACCCAGCAGAACAGAGGTTAAACTTGACAAGGAACTCCTTTTCCACTCTACAATTAGTCCTATTTCAGAGCAACTTAGTGTAAATGCTCAATCTTACACAAGATTTCTTTATTATTCTTATTCCATAGGATAATTGGATGTAAGGCATCTGGTGGACAAGTCTTAAGTGATTAGTGTCCATTTTGTTGTGCTGTATTCTCTGGGCCTAGTTAACTATGTGGTGCCATCACTTGCCTGCCCTGGGCATCCAAACGCTGCTGAAGTCCAAGCAAATAAAATCATATGTGTTCTCTGTTCTCCTGCATCAGCACCACCAGAACCATGGAGGCCTTGCCTAACACACATTACTCTGCCATTTCTGTGTGGTTGCTGATGCCCCATGTTGGTATGTGGACCTTGGACAGCAGTTTCTAGCTGGAGTTGCAAATAGGAAATTACAAGAGTTTTCCTTGCTCAGGTTTTCCCCAAGACTATTAAGATTTTGAACCTGCCGCTAGAATCAGGAACCTGGCATCTCACATCCTAATAATACTATTCCTTGACCTATTATTCATTGATAGTGGAAGATGAAAGATTAGTTCTGCTTTCTTTTCTGTTCTTTTATTTTTTTATAAGCATATCTCGTATACTCTGTATTCTATTTACGCATCACTGACAATCGTGTCCTTTGTTCTAAACTGTCCAGGCCTAGTTTAAATATGCAAAAGAAGCTGAGGAAAGTGAAAGAAGACGATAAAATGAAATGATATAAAATGACGCTTAGTATTATATCCTCTCATCGTGTCTCAGCTATTCTCAGCTATTGCATGCTCTGAGTTACACATGAGAATCAGGGCAATCTGTGAGCATATGTTACCTTTCTTAATAACACAGTATTGTACAAACACTTGCTTCTAGAGTTTTCTTCACATTAGAGTGTTCCTCATATCTTTCAACTGATGAGGATTTGCCAGTGTCTTGGTTTTTTTATCTTGCTTAGCTACGTGGGGTAGTTTGGGAGGAGATGATAAAAAGGTATTCTGCAACGTGTGTCACTTTTAAAATATACATAAAATATTGTGTCATTTATTTTAACTTAGAAGTAAATATTTGGGCGTGGCCGCCTGAAGAGATGGAAGGCCCGGCCGCCGATGCCATCCTGTCGCCCGAAGAGGAGCTGGACGGGTACGAGCCGGAACCTTTGGGGAGGCGGCCGGCGGTCCTGCCTTTGCTGGAGTTGGCGGGGGAGGCCAGCAGTGGCCCCGGCATGGACGGCTCGCTACCCTCGACGCCACCCCCGGCGGAGGAGGAGGAAGACGAGTTGTACCGGCAGTCCCTGGAGATTATCTCTCGGTACCTTCGGGAACAGGCCACAGGCGCCAAGGACGCGAACCCCCTGGGCGGGGCTCGGGCGGCCAGCCGGGAGGCGTTAGAGACCCTCCGGCGAGTCGGGGACGGGGCACAGCGCAGCCACGGGACGGCCTTCCAAGGTAAGCGGGGAGTGGCGGCGGCTGCGCTGCCTTGCTTCGCCTGCCCCGGACTCACCCAGCCGAGGTGGGTGGTCACCGAAAACAAGGCCGCGTTGAAACGACTTCGCAATCTATTTCTGAAACTAGAATTTTCTGGCCATTAGTCATTGCTTCCGCCCATCTTAATTCTTTTGGAAATGGCAGCTCTGCTGAAAGCCCGGAAAGGGTGGGATGTCAGTTTTCAACCGGGGTCGTCCTGAGTTGTATAGACCCCAGGGAGCGATGTCCCCCGCCGTGGGTGGGCAGACAAGTCACGTCCTGCTTTAGACAAAGGAGGTCGTGAGCACCTGCGTGCTTTTCTTCCTCCCAGGCATGCTTCGGAAACTGGACATCAAAAACGAGGACGATGTCAAATCGTTGTCTCGAGTGATTGTCCATGTTTTCAGTGACGGAGTAACAAACTGGGGCAGGATTGTGACTCTTATTTCCTTTGGTGCCTTTGTGGCCAAACACTTGAAGAGTATAAACCAAGAAAGCTGCATCGAACCATTAGCAGAAAGCATCACAGATGTTCTCGTAAGGACGAAACGAGACTGGCTAGTCAAACAAAGAGGCTGGGTAAGTTTGTTTTAAGGTCGAAAGGGGGTCTTCGAGTGGAAATGGAATGAAGGATTATATAGGGAAAGTCTGGGGCTATTTAACTCTTTCTATGATGCACAACTCGGGTTTCAGGCACTAACTTAGGACCTGTTTGCCTAAAGTTGATGTAAGTAGTGGGTTCACAGAGGTAGTGTGGTATGATAGTCTTGAATTGTTGCATCAAAAAATCCCAGTTTTACTGGTTGTTGAGTCTTTTGCTTTTGGTATTGTAATTCAGCTGGATGCTTCATTGGATTCAAATTATGAAAAAATAAGAATCACTTGAGGATGTTAGTAAACTACATTTCTGAGAGATGTGCCACCCCTCCCCCCCTTAATTGAATGTCTTTTGTAGCCTGGGGTAAATAATTGGTTCATTATGTTTGGGGAGAACCTTAGTTGTTTTAATTCATCTTTTCTTTATGGATAGTGTTTTTAAGTCATTGGAAACCCATACTTGAAAATGTGCTTTTCTTTTTTGTTTTCTAGGATGGGTTTGTGGAGTTCTTCCATGTAGAGGACCTAGAAGGTGGCATCAGAACTGTGCTGCTGGCTTTTGCAGGTGTTGCTGGAGTAGGAGCTGTTTTGGCATATCTAATAAGATAGCCTTTTAAGTGCAATAATTAACTTTTAAACAACCCCAGGCACCAAAACCACATATGACTGCTGTGAAAGCAAATGTATTTATGAAGTTGGACTTTGAGCTGTCCAGGCTGTAACCTCAGAGAGTTCTACTCTAGCAACGTAGAAAAGCAAGTGGCAAGAGGATTATGGCTAACAGGAATAAATACATGGGAAAAGTAGTCCCCCTTGAAGAGTCACTGTCTAAAAGAAGCAGAGCTCAGTTTCAGCAATAGGCAAACTTTGGGAGGCCATGGAGGAGGACTTTTAGATTTAGTAAAGTTGGTAGGGTTGAAGAGACTTAATTTCCTTGTCTAGAACAGGAGAGTGGCCAGTAGCCAGGCTAGTCATAGAGTCCATTAAATATGTCCACTGAATTCATTAACTTCCCATATAGTGTTAAAAGAGAAGCACTAACAATGGCATTGATCTGTATGAAATGGATTTAAGCTACAGGTGATAGAACTATGACTAGAAGCCGCAGTACTGTACAACAGTGTGAAGGAAAGCTTTTTCTCTGTAATTAGCTTTCCCAAGTATACTTCTTGAAAGTCCAAGTGCTCAGGACGTTTTTACCTGTTCTACTTTGGCTTGGTTTGAGTGGTTTAGTTTATTAGCCTAGTAATGGCCAACAATACTTGACTTAGGGTCAATAATTACAATTGCAAATGTGGGGATAGCCTCAATTTTTAAGGCAAAAACAAATTGTAAATGTATTTGTCTGTAAAAATTGTGTATATTTTTACAGAAAGTCTATTTCTTTGAAATGGAAAGGGATGAAGAGTCTCAAAATATATTAGTTTTTTTCATGCCCGTTTGAAATTTACAACTTCTGTAGTTAGGAATCTATTTCTTTTTTTTTTTTTTTTTATAAATTAATTTTTATTGGTGTTCAATTTACCAACATACAGAATAACACCCAGTGCTCATCCCGTCAAGTGTACCCCCCAGTGCCCGTCACCCATTCACCCCCACCCCCCACCCTCCTCCCCCTCCACCACCCCTAGTTCATTTCCCAGAGTTAGAAGTCTTTATGTTCTGTCTCCCTTTCTGATATTTCTCACACATTTCTTCTCCCTTCCCTTATATTCCCTTTCGCTATTATTCATATTCCCCAAATGAATGAGAACATACACGTTTGTCCTTCTCCGGTTACTGTGGCCAAGTTCAAAAAGGGTGTTGCCTGAGTTCTCCTCTGGGATTTTGATGGAATCTTGTCTCACATTTAGATCTTTCATCTATTTTGAGTTTATCTTTGTGTATGGTGCAAGAGAGTGGTCCAGTTTCATTCTTCTGCATGTGGATGTCCAATTTTCCCAGCACCATTTATTGAAGAGACTGTCTTTCTTCTAGTGGATCGTCTTTCCTCCTTTATCGCATATTAGTTGAGCATAAAGTTCAGGGTCCACTTCTGGGTTCTCTGTTCTGTTCCATTGATCTATATGTCTGTTTTTGTGCCAGTACCACACTGTCTTGATGAACACAGCTTTGTAGTACAACCTGAAATCTGGCATTGCGATGCCCCCAGATATGGTTTTCTTTTTTTAAAATTCCCCTGGCTGTTTGGGGTCTTTTCTGATTCCACACAAATCTTAAAATAATTTGTTCTAAGTCTCTGAAGAAAGTCCATGGTATTTTGATAGGGATTGCATTATACGTGTAAATTGCCCTGGGTAACATTGACATTTTCACAATATTAATTCTGCCAATCCATGAGCATGGAATATTTTTCCATCTCTTTGTGTCTTCCTCAATTTCTTTCAGAAGTGTTCTGTAGTTTTTAGGGTATATTTTGAGAACCATTTGAATGGTAAATGGTTCTCCAACCTTTTATTTTCAGGTTGTAGGTGTCCTTCTGTCTAAAATGAGTCTCTTGTAGACAGCAAATAGATGGGTCCTGTTTTTTTATCCAGTCTGAAACTCTGCGCCTTTTGATGGGGTCATTAAGCCCATTCACGTTCAGAGTTACTTGAACTTCTTCTTAAAGGGGAGTTTTAAGAGTCCCCCTTAAAATTTCTTGCAGAGCTGGTTTGGAGGTCACATATTCTTTCAGTTCCTGCCTGTCTTGGAAGCTCTTTATCTCTCCTTCCATTTTGAATGAGAGCCTTGCTGGATAAAGTATTCTTGGTTGCATGTTCTTCTCATTTAGGACCCTGAATATATCCTGCCAGCCCTTTCTGGCCTGCCACGTCTCTGTGGAGAGGTCTGCTGTTACCCTAATATTCCTCCCCATGAAAGTCAGGGACTTCTTGTCTCTTGCTGCTTTAAGGATCTTCTCTTTATCTTTGGAATTTGCAAGCTTCACTATTAGATGTCGAGGTGTTGAACGGTTTTTATTGATTTTAGGGGGGGATCTCTCTATTTCCTGGATCTGAATGCCTGTTTCCCTTCCCAGATTGGGAAAGTTTTCAGCTAGGATTTGTTCAAATACATATTCTGGCCCTCTGTCCCTTTCGGCGCCCTCGGGAACCCCAATTAAACGTAGGTTTTTCTGCCTCAGGCTGTCGTTTATTTGCCTTAATCTGTCTTCATGGTCCTTCAATTGTTTATCTCTTTTTTCCTCAGTTTCCCTCTTTGCCATTAACTTGTCTTCTATGTCACTCACTCGTTCTTCCACCTCGTTAACCCTCGTCGTTAGGACTTCTAGTTTGGATTGCATCTCATTCAATTGATTTTTAATTTCTGCCTGATTGGATCTAAATTCTGCAGTCATGAAGTCTCGTGAGGCCTTAATGCTTTTTTCTAGAGCCACCAGTAGCTGTAGAATAGTGCTTCTGAATTGGCTTTCTGACATTGAAGTGTAATCCAGATTTTGTAACTCTGTGGGAGAGAGGGCTGTTTCTGATTCTTTCTTTTGAGTTGAGGTTTTCCTTCTAGTCATTTTGCTCAGTGCAGAGTGGCCAGAAACAAGTTGTATTGGAACACGGGGGAGTATCACTGGCCCCTCTAGCTGGTCTTCTGGGGGAGGGGCCTGTTGCGTTGATTTTCAGGTGTTAGCACTTGGGGGAGCTGCTCTGCCCCTGCCTGCTGCAGGGCTCTGCGGGGGTTGTTTACCCCGCCAGGCCCCAGGAGGAACAGCAGCAGTTGCTATGGCAACTCTGGAAGCCTGGATTCAGCCTCCGCAGGAACTACGGGGCTCGGGGCTCTCGGCTCTCCGTCCGCAGGGCCTGGAGGCTCCGGGGCGGGGCCGCTGATCTGCTCAGCTCGGGGCAGGAGCGTCCTCGCTGTCTCGGGCCCTCCCGGCCTCTGCCTGTCCCGGGGGAGGCCGGATCCTGGGCTGTGTCCCGGCGCCCTGTGCTCCGGGGCCTGCGCTGTTGGATTCGCGCTCCCGCCCTGCAGCTCCCTCCCTGGAGCCGCTCCCGAGCCCCTCCGAGCTGCTCCGGTCGGTCCCGCCGTGCGCGCTGCAGCCCTTAGGGAGCTCGGAGCACTCTCCTGCGCTCGCAGGTGTCTGTTAGTGTCCCCGGGAGCCCGAGGGCATCCCCGCCCTCCTGGGTCCTGCTCCAACTCCCTGCGAGCCCCTTTCCGCCCGCCCGGGAAGGTTGGTGCAGCTCCTGCTCCTCTGGGACGGGGCTCTCCTGTCCTGGGGACACTCGCCCCGGCCTCAGCCCGGCTCCTCGCGGGGCCCCTCCCCCTCGGAGGCCTTTTGTTCCTTTATCTCTTTTTCCCCGTCTTCCTACCTTGATAGAAGCGTGAACTCTTCTCACTGTAGCATTCCAGCTGGTCTCTCTTTAAATCTCAGGCCGAATTCGTAGATTTTCAGGATGATTTGAAGGTTATCTAGGTAATTTGGTGGGGACAGGTGATTTGGGGACCCTGCTCTTCCGCCATCTTGCCCCTCTGTCTAGGAATCTATTTCTTACAGCTTTTCTAAATTTTGTCCTGGTCAGTTCTAGATTGTATACAGAACCAATTGATGTAATTGTATGCAACTTGGTTGTAGTGGAACAATTCCAATTCATAACTAAGCAGACTTTTTAATTTTCTTATCTGGTAAGTATTCTTTAGTGGTTTTGGGTGTTTTGTTTTGTTTTAAACCTGGGATTGAGAAGTTGATGAATGGAAATTCATCCTTTAACTTCATTACATGTGGGTTTACAATAATTGAGTCAAGGTGAAGTTTGAAGTTTGGGGGCAGGGGGCGTGTATGGGTTGATAACTTAAAAAAATAATGGGCTCTGATTGGGCAGCTACTCATTTGAGTTCCTTCCATTTGACCTAATTTAACTGGTGAAATTTAAATTGAGTTTATGAGCTCATCTTCAAAACTTTTGCTAGAAGATTTTCAGCTGTTCCAAATGGGACTTACTAACAGTATGTATATAAAAAGATCACATCAGTGGATGAGAGACATTTGATCCCTTGTTTGCTTAATAAATTGTAAAATGATGGCTTGGAAAAGCAGGCTTATAGTCTAACCATGGTGCTATTATTAGGCTTGCTTGTTAAACACAGGTCTAAGCCTAGTATATCAATAAAACAAATACTTATTTCATTTGTTAATGATTCCCCAAAAAATAAATAAAAAGAAGTAAATATTTGGCATTTGACTTGTCTGAATAATTTTTGACAACTTCCTATAGACCCCACCTCTAATAATCTGAACAGAAGAGAATTGAGGGAGAACAGAATTTATGAGTGTTCTTAAATTACTTTTTCTACCATGTCTGTTAATTTTCTATAACCTGTACTTTAGAGCGACTCCATTGAATTTCATTCCATCATATTCAATTTTGAAACCCAATTTTATTTCCTGTTGCTAATGTGCTACAGCTGAGTCACATGGAAAGTAAATGTAAGGAGGTCAGAAGTTACTGTACATTAATTTTCTCAATTGAATTGATGTAAAGAAATAAATAAGAATAGTTTCCCAACATAGAATATACAATGATTGCAGTTGTATGATTTTATACTGTTAGTATTTAAAATGTATGAATACCATGGTACATTTTCATTCATTCTTTTTTCTTTTTCATGTTCTATCTTTGTACAGTTTTGATCAAAGTAAATTACATTTCTTTCAGAACTTTCCTCTGACTTTCTAGTGGGCAGAATGCCAATACTACAATTTAAAT